GACAAAAAAGAAAAAGAGGAGGGGGAGGAGAGAGGAGAGAGAGAGAAAGAGAGAGAGAGAGAGAGAGAGAGAGAGAGAGAGAGAGAGAGATTCACAATTGCCTCCCACTGGATGCAAGACATGTTTGACCATGGGCTGAGGATATAAAAATTTGGTGGGGTTCTGGCTCAGTCCTTACAAAGTGACTTAAGCAGGAGAAAGAGCTGGCAAGAAGGACTGAGAGGGCACAGGGCTTTTCTTCATGGGCAACAGCCATCAAGTAGACCATTGGGGGATGCAGTCCTAGGGACTGGAGAGAATGGAAGCCCGGAAGCCCGACACAGGAAGCCTGCAGTACTAGCAATGACACCAAGCTTTTCCTGGGAAAGGGGAGCTCTTCTCCCGGAGAAGATAAGGGTGACACCTCCCAGCTCTCCGTCCAGGTGTGGCCATCCTGCTCTATTACAGAGTCAGCTACGGAGCAGGAGAAATCTGTCAGCTGTTCCTCTAGTGTCTACAAAGAGCTGGTTGGGACTCTTCCTGGTCATTTTGTCTGACCCAGAGCTTTCCCTTAGGAAGCCCTCTTCTCTCCAATGACCAGAAAAGACTACCCTTTAAAAGCAGCAGTTGTCATTAAACACAGCTCTGGGGAACCAGATGCAGGGATGGAAGGAGCCGAGCAAAGTAGGAGGGCCTAGTAGGGAGAGGACGAGAATCTTACACAGAACCTTGAAACAATGAGGGCAGAAGGAAAATGGAGACCATACTGTAAGAAAGGTTCGAGTTTTGATTCCAGGCACCGTGGTAGAGTAGAACACACCTTGGAGTCTGAGAGACTAAATATGAACCCTGCATCTCCCATCCACCTTGGGCAACTTTAACCTTTAAAAACCTCAGTTTCCTTGTCTGCAAAATGAGGCTTGCAGTTCGACTTTGAAGGGGGTTGCAGAGAAAGCTAGAGTGTGCAAAATATACCTACACTCTGCAGACTCTGGGAAGGGTAGCCTGGTGCACAGAGAAGATACTGAATAAATGAAGTAGACGTTTGATACGATGTCAATGTCTGCTTGTTTTTGGTCATTTTTATTTTCCTTTTACTGGGGACCAGCACTCTCTCAGGGAAAGGATGGCAGTTTCGTTTCGTTATTTTCCTCTAGAAGCCCACCCTGCTTGGGGGCTTCCTCCGAGTTTTCCAAAATGAAGTTCTGCCACCCAAATGAGCCAATGACTGGTTTTCTTATGGCCAACCTCAGCTGTTTAAAACAAACCACAAGTTTGGAAGACTGGACCACTAGTTAACTCCAGCCCTGGTCCTGCCCTCAGGGATAAGAATTACAGGAAAAAGATGGCACTGTCCTTACAAACACCAGGAAATGGCCAAATTTTCCATATGACTGCCTTTTCTGGGAGTGGGGGCTATACCTGGGTGGGGGTTGTCGAGAGAATAGAGAAAACAAAGGCATTGCCATTTCATACCGTGTCATTTATCAGTGTCCACCAGCATCTCCTTCCAAGTCAGGGTTATCTGGGCTACCGAGGAAGTACAGATCAGGTGGCCATGGTCTTCCCACAGAGGCAAAATTCAGGGCTGGGAGCCATGAAGAGGAGAGCCAGGCAGCAGAAAGTGGAGACTGTGGCTGCTTTCTCTCAAGTCTGCTGCACCTACGTCACTGGCTCTCAATAAGCATCCACTTGACGCCAGGGAGGTGAAATAACGCAGACCTGGCACCAGAAAGAACAAGTGTGGCACCTACTGCTCCTTGTAAGGACTGGCTGGAGAAGCAGCAGGCCCCAGGGCAGGAGGTGAGGCAGAGGGAGGAGGCTCTCAAGCCTACCTCCATCTTAACAAGCTCTCCAGGGCAAACTGTCAAAAATAATGGACAGTGTAGGCTTTTTCCTTTTTCTTATAAACTCCGGAGACAGAGTGTTTCCTCTCCCTCGAGCAGGGCAGCTGACTCCAATGAAGCAAAAGGGCCAAAAGTCACACTGATAACCAGCTAGCAAAACAGAAAGATCCCCAAGGTGGAATCAGAAAGTCTGGGCCTGGCTCTTCAACTTCAGTGTGTACTACAATCACCTGTGAAGCTGGTTTTTTGATTTTTGAGTTTTGTTTGTTCTTTCTTAAATTTTTTGTTTGTGTTTTTGACCACAGGGTTTCTCTCCCTCTGTAGCCCTCGGGATCAGTCTGACCTCAGAGTCAGAGATCTGCCTGCCTCTGCCTCGGGAGTGCTGGGATCAAAGGCGAGCTCCTCGGCTGCCAGTACCACTTGGCTAGAAAACTGGTTTTAAACAAAAGGCCTGCCTCCACTCCCCGAGGCAGCTTTTCATTTGGTCTGGGATGTGGCCCACAGTGTCATAGTTCTACCCGTTTCTCAGGTGATGCAGACGCTCTTGGTCTGGGAGCTCCTGCCATGTTCGCTGGCCTTCCCTTTGCATTTCTTTCCATGCATCATTTTTTTTTCTACCACAGGAATGGATATTCCCTTGAAAACAGATTACTTCATGTGTATGTACCGTCCTTTTATTCCCAAGGCCTTACAGCTCTTCACGCCCACTGCCTCCATTTGCTCTCATGATATCCCATTTGGCTGGCAGAAGAGGCCAAGGCCTTTTCCATGCTACCGATGAGTTGTCAGGTTTCTTAACTTCCTGTTCAGGGGTCACTTCTGAGAACACACTGCCTTTGTACCCAGGTCCTGGTCATGCCATGAGCTGACTACACCTCAGACATCGGCTCCTGTAACTTTTGTTACAATACACAAATTATTTTGTATGTGTATGGTTGTTTTGCCTGTGTGCCTGTCTGTGTACCATGTTCATGACTGGTGCTTGTGGAGCCCATAAGGGGGTGGGGGATCCCCCAGA